TCAGAATGTTAGGTTAACCGTATAAAATTACCGATATTCAACGGTATTTTCCGATATTTAGAATATTCAACGGCATTTTCCAATATATACCGATATTCATCGGTATTCAACGGGTGACACAAATGACACCTTCGCACGATGTGGTCCAGTTGTCAGGCCCTTCCCTTTTCAGCCACTGTAGGGATTTCAAGTCCGTGAACTTGGAAATTCACAGGGAAAGCCAGTATATTTAAACATTGTATTTCTTAGCAGATTCTCGTTTCATCCGGAGGCTAGTTTTGTTTCTGTTTTCCCAGGTGCAGAGGTTGACTGCCACAGCCCTTTCCATTCCTTGAGTAATTATCAAGCTCTGCTCTTGGCAATCCTTGAACTTCTGAAAATAACATCTTAACTGTCTGTTGGAGTCGTCCAGTTTTTTTCAACAAACGTTTGGTTGTCCCTATTTCTTGAAAAATGCCTTGTCACCCCCCATTAAAATGGGGGTCTGCCTTTGTCCCCATGGGCCTGGAGTCAGAGTGAGTGGTTTGAGTTTGTCACAGGGCTCCCAGGAGCGCAGGGAGCAGGAGGGAGGCTCCGTGTGTAATCTCTCCACGTAAAATGTTCTTAGTCCTCTGCCCTAAATCCTGCTAGCAAAGAGATTTTGGAAGATGAGGTTAAAAGTCTGACACAGGAGGTTGTCACAGCAGGAGGTCTTGTGTGAGCTTTGCTCCTTCCCTGTTTGGACTGAAATCTGTTCAACTTGAGATAAGATATGTAAATCAGATTGGGGCTGCCTGTCTAACCAGGTGTTATAAATACCATTGCTAAAGGAGCATGCTCTAAGTCAGCTTTATTTTCATTGTAAAGGTGAATTAAAAAATCAGCCAAGAATTTTGAGCTTCTCAGGGAGAAAAAAAAAAAGCACCATAAAACAATAAAGAATAGTTATCGCTTCCAAGTAAGAAGTGAGACGTTTCATCTCAGCAGTGTGGCACATTTTGGGTGATCAGTAATGTCTGCTAATAAGTAAAGAGAAAGCACACAAACTTGTTTCACAAAAGAAGGATACCTTACACTGGAATTTTCTTTCTTTCTTTCTTTTTTTAAATTTGCTCAAGAATCCTGAATTGTAACAGGCATATTGACTGATGAGCCAAGAGGAAAAATGTGCGGTGTCTGTGTTTGCAGTCATTTCATTAGCTAGAAATGTCCTCCAAACTAGATTTTGTTTTTGTCGATAATTCTCTGTTTGCTTCCTTGTGGGGTGTTATTTTTTGTCACCAGGAACCAGTCGGACGTCTGGTCAATCCAGACGACCAATCTCAGGTGAGATATTACTTTAGGAAAATCTGATTTTCATTTCTCATTCAGGGATGGCAAACTGGTAGTAGGAAACTTCTTCCCTCGGGGCCTGTTAACCTTGCCTACCTAGGTATGGCAACCTGGTGAACTTGTTTGCTTACGTGTGGGCGAACCAATTGCTTTCATGTGGTGTATGGCCCTGAGTGAATTATCGCCTCCTAGTAATAGTTGAAACTGTACACAATAGAGACAGTTGGAAATCCACTCTTGTTTTTCCACATTGTTCAAAAAACAAATGCATGAAAACATAATCATCCTTCCAGGAAGTAAAATTACTAGCCTTTTTAAATTTTTAATTGTACTTAATACCCTTGAGTGCCAGATAGAGTTTAAGGGCCGAAGTTCTTACATAAGAGTTTCAGAAGTAAGGAGAAACCTGGTTCAGAACAAAATCGTAGGAAAAGGTTGCTAAATAGTGACCACGTCAACATTTTAAAACTCCAGAGCAAAACTAACTCCACCACCGGCACTCCCAACAAAACCGGCTTCCAACTTGGGATTTTTCTTTGATCTCCAGGGCTGGGATGTAGTCCTCGTTTGCTTAGTGAATACTTTTGGAAGCATTCTTTTCTTTCCAAGGTTTTTTTTCCCTTGAAATAGAGAAACAGCCCAAACTCGAGAGTAATTCCTACGTATTTATTGTACTTCAACCTGTTCATTTGTGTGCAGGCCTGTTTTGGAGGTGAATTGGTCATGGACTACACCAGTATTGGGAAGCGTTACTGGTTCTTTGTTCAATTCTTTTCCTCCATTCACCCCTTCCCCTCACACCTAGCAAAATTGCTCCCAAAGTTTCTTTATGCATATGACAACAAATACAGATGTCCGTTCTTATGCCACAATCCCTCATTTTTGCACAAAGCATAGTATTTTCTATATGGTCCTGGACTCCGCATTTTTTGCCTGGTAATAGACGTGGAGATACGGCACTCAGCAGCGCACAGAGAACTTCCTCGTTCTTTTTACAGCTGATTAGCATTCAGTTGCATGGATGATATACCCCTAGTTTATTTAACCAGTCCCTTACAACATACACTTAGGTTATTTTCAGGGTTTTCCTTTTTGGTTGTTGTTATTACAAACAATCCTGCAGTGAATAACTTTATACATAGATCATTTCGCATGTGTGCGATTTATCTGTAGGATAAATTTTCCCCAGTGGAATTGCTAGGTCCATAGGTATTTGTATTTTACATTTTTGATAGATACTTCATTGCCTTCCACAAGGCTTCTACCAATTCATGCTCCCACCAGCAGTGTCTCTGCAGTACCTTGTTTCCCTCAGCCTTTTAACCCCTGCTTTGTGGCTGCTTTGATTTTTCTTCTTGTTTGGTGTTCTGCAGTTTCATTGTGAGTGTGTAGTTGTACGTTTTGAAAAACGTATCGTTTGGGACACCCTAGAATATCTCAATTTGTGGATTGATTTTTTTTTATCAGTCAACAGGACACAGACGGCACACTTGAAATGAATAATTGAATAAATGAAGTTGAATAAATGGATGACTTACACAAATATAAGTACGGTTTAGAGAAAGCAACAGGGGATGGTTCGGGACCTAGAAGACAGAGGCAGAGGGGGCAGAGGGAGGGAACCATGACTAGAACTTGGGGGCAGGACCTGGGTGATGGGGACATCTGATAGATGCTGTGTTCTTTTTTCTTTTTTGAGACGGAGTCTCACTCTGTTCCCCAGGCCAGAGTGCCGTGGCATCAGCCTAGCTCACAGCAACCTCAGACTCCTGGGCTCAAGCGATCCTCCTGCCTCAGCCTCCCGAGTAGCTGGGACTACAGGCATGCGCCACCATGCCCGGCTAATTTTTTCTATATGTTTTTAGTTGGCCAATTAATTTCTTTCTAATTTTAGTAGAGACGGGGTCTCGCTCTTGCTCAGGCTGGTTTCGAACTCCCGACCTCGAGCAATCCACCCGCCTCGGCCTCCCAGAGTGCCAGGATGACAGGCGAGGCTGTGTTCTTAGGAGAAGGACAGACTACCCTGCAGGACCTGGGAGAGGGGATGGGGCAGCCTTCCTCTCTTGCCAGGGTCTCCCATCGCTGGATACAACCGGGAGCAGGTGGCAGGGGTGCTCACCCGATGTTCCTGCTTCCCGAGGCAGGGCAGAAAAGCTCCCAAAGAAAGGAGGACGGATCTCTTGGGGTGGGGTCCTCAGACTGAAAATGTCCCACATAGCATCTGCCATCGATTCTGAGCAACTCTCAGCCATCGCCTCCCGAGACATGACTGCTGTCTCTAGCTCCCCTGCCTGGGCAGCTCCCGTTAGAATAAAGCTTTGCACCCTGCACTGTTTCAGCTTCTCGTAGCTTCTCACGTCCCTCTGTGTTGCAGTCTGGAGGATGGATGGGTCCTTCACATCTCCCTTCCTTCCCTCTTTCTCTCTAGCTATATTGAATCTTCTGTTTACCCCATCCATTGAGTTTTTAAATGGTTACTACATTTTTCTCTTTAAAAGGTTCTGTTTGGTTCTTTTTCAGATTACCCTGGTTATTTTTTATTTTATTTATGAAAATAGCATTTCCTTCTGCCCGTCCCTGGAAGAGGTAGTGGTCATAGGTGTCCGTATTTTATCTAGCAGTGACACAACTTGCAGCAGGCTGTGTGGCCACTGGGCTGTGTGGCCCCGAGCCTGTCAGAGGAGGGTTTTCTCCTCTCTCTGTCTCTGTCTCTGTCTCTCTCTCTCTCTCTCTCTCTCTCTCTCTCTCAGGCCCTCACCAGATGCGGCCCCTCAATCGTGGACCTCCCAGACTCCAGGATCGCGAGCCAAATAGATTCCCGTTCATCATAACTCACCCGGTCTCAGGTGTTCTGTTACAGCAGCACAAGACAGGAGATGAGGGCCGTGGCCGTGGCCGTGAGGCAGGCAGGCGCTGAGTGGCCCTGAGCTAGGGAGGGGGGCGGAAAGGAAGTGGCCACAACTGATGTTGTGCAGGGGTCCTCAAACTTTTTAAACGGGGGGCCAGTTCCTGTCCCTCAGACCGTTGGAGGGCCAGACTATAGTTTTAAAAAAACTATGAACAAATTCCTACGCACACTGCACATGTCTTATTTTGAAGTAAAAAAACAAACGGGCAAAAACACCTGCATGTGGCCGCAGTTTGAGGACGCCTGTTGTAGAGGAAGAGCCTGCAGGGCTTGTGAGTGGCAGGGAGGGGAGACGCCAGAGGAGTCCCCACAGCTCGTTTGTGCCACGAGGGGCTTGCAGGGGTGGCTCTGACCAGCCTGATGGAGCTCTGGGGTCTGAACTTCCGTGGAAGATTGCGGAAATACAGACCCTCGGTGCCCAGGAAGGGGCCGAAACATTATTCTGTCAAATCTCCAGCGCCAAAGTCATTTTTAATACGTCCATCTTTTCTTAAACATTAATTCAGCCTGGACAACAGTGCAAGACCCCTTTTCTAAAAAAAAAAAAAACAAAACAATTAAATTATTAAATTATTCGTATGTCTTGTGGCTTCAGAATGGGTAACACCATACAGGAGAAAAGGAAGGCAGTGTCCCCAGACACTCTGACTCAGGGTTCCCTGGCGGTTGAGCCTTTGAATCGAGGTGACTCTCACTCGTGCAGAACCTTTGTTTCTGAGGGACGAGGCACTTTGCTAACCAGCCTCGCTAACCGGTGTCGCTCTCTGTTTGATTTCTCCAGACGTGACCCACTCCCTCAGGATGGGATGTTGACTCCTTCCGCACGTCTGTGATCAGGCCACCGGGAGCGGGTTTCTGTGGGGATGCCTGTGACCCGCCAGAAGTCAGACTCCTCGGGGATGGACTCCGCCGACACGTCCCCCGGCTGCAGGCTCAGGGACGTGAGCAGAGGCGGGAGTTTGGAGAGTCGAAGCAGCAGTTCTCGGTCCAGAAGTCTCACGCTGGTGAGTGGCGGCCGTCTTTGGAGCCTCTGTGTGCTCTGGTCGGTTGACTCTGCCCCTTCTCCCCTTTAAGGAGTAGCTTACAGGATCCTTTTGGGTCAGCCAGCTGGATGTTTTGGAGTACTTCTCTGTGAAATGGCATTTCCTTTTTAATCATCTTAAATTGTGCACAAACCCAGAGCATCGCCCATAGTGGTGGAGCAGATCTCTAGCTGTGGCGGATAACTTAGGGCTGCCCAGAGCCCTGAAGGCGGAAACAAACCCAGTTCAAGCGACTGGAGGAAGAGAAGCATCTCATGAGATGGAAACAATTTTCTTTTAAACATATATTTTTTTTTTTACTGCTTTACAAATAGAAATGCATTTGTGTCCCTTTTTCTCAGAATCCAGACTCTTGACATAGCTTTGAGAATTTCACAAGAAGAGTCTTTGGCTAACTTAGCCCCCAAAGACCTAAGTAGATAGGAAATGAGGATAAACAAAACAACAGGTTTCTTGGGAAAAAATGAGTTGGAGAAAACATGTTTATGCCCATTGAATTTGGAAGGTAGAAGGCTTACAGCAAAAAAAAAAAAAAAGAAAGAAAAAAGAAAAAATTCCATCCTTATAAATAGTGTTTTTAATGTACCAGTTTGGATTATGGAGAAAATGGCAGCCCTTTCAGACTACAAATCTCCATATACTAAAAGAACGATCTAGAAAACCATACCTCACCCTTTCTGTCCCACCACGCTGATTTCAAGAAATGTTGACAAGTCTGAGGGAAATGCTGCTCTGCTTCACGCATGAGAGGAATGTATATTTCTACCTAATGTTGTGATTTTCAAGACATAATTTCTAACGCATTCAAACCAGAAAATCCAAAATGCCAAATATACCAAGGTAATTTTAAGATGCACACTGAATAAGCCCTGGCCTAGCTGACGTCTACTTGCTCCTGCACAAAGACGACAGAAGAAAGGGTCTGTCCAGCACCATTCAAGCCCTGAGAAGAACATCTAGATAAAAAGTTGGATAACAAACTTTTAAAACACATGCCAGCAATAGTTACAAAACAATCCTAGATTTATCTGTGTTAGTACAGATTTGGGACAGGAGTTCTGTTTTTAGAGAAATAGAGAAGAAAACATTTGGTTGAACAGAAAAAGTTGAGAAGGCTTAAAATACTTGTACCAAAATAACCTATACCTAAAAAACAACTGAATCTTACTTCAATAATTAAGTTCTTAGGCTTTTTCCTTTTCTGTTTTGCTTTCTTTTTCTTTTAAACAAAGAAATTTTAGTTTAACTGCAGACTATAGACAATTGTGGCAACTATTTGTGAGGGATTTAAAAAAAAAAAACCCTGGCAGAACTCATCTCTATTCTAGACCATAAACACCATTAAAAAGAATTATGGTGGCTAAGGAAATTTCTTGAGATGAGCCAAGCATCTCTTAATCACCAGTCTCCTAGGTAGGCAGCCCAGGGCATTTGTTTTGGCAGAGTGTGACTTGACGTTCACATCTTCTTGTGGACACCAGAATTATCTCCCTGACACTTGAGCAATGTTTTATTGATTTAATAATCTCAGGTGATGAGAGACCATCCCCCCGCCCAGGCTAAAACAGAACAGGGGCAGAGAGAAGAAAATAAGCCCCTTCTTGCATAGTTTTAGCGTATGCAGCACCCTCCTGCGTAGCCTTCAATGCCGTGCTCCCGTCAGCAGCCTCGTAAGCGAGACCATAAGTGCACGTGGCGCTGCCCCAGTTTCAGGATAAGGGTTTAATTATGGTTATTTCTAACTAGACACTATTGTAATTTTTCACCAGGGCTAACTTAAACCTGTACTTCTGGCAGGAAGGAGACACAAACAGACCAGGGAGGGATGAGATACGTGGACAGTTTTGACGACAGAACTAAAGAAAAATGGCTTACGAGCCTCGCAGCCGGGCTCCCTTCTGCCTTAAACTGACGACAGAGATCCGGACCCCTCACCTGCCTCTCTTACAAAGGGATCTCTACTAAGATGGGAACACCTTGAGCATGTGGCACTGCAGGTGCTCTGAGACCCTCCCAAGCCGTGTCACGTTGTCCTAGCTCTTCAAGGGCAGTCTTGCCACTGTGTTGTGAGGTCCTGAAAGGAGTAGAACAAGTTCTGTTCCATCATCCCATCGATTCTCGTATGTAGCAGGCATTTAGTAAATGTTTACTATTTAGCTATGTCTTAAAAATAGCTGTTTGACCAGACCAGTTTTGATAGCATCTGGGTGAGAAGTCAGAGGAAGGCAGGATGGGTGACTTACTGACCAGTCGGCTTCTCCCTCCTCACTGCTCCGGTTCCGCTTCCTCTCCTCGGGATCACAGAGCACACGGCGGATCACATTCCTGGTGTCCTCTGAGCCGTGGTCCGCCCTAGCTGTGGGGGGAAGCATCCCTCGTGCCGGCTCTACCGTCTCGATTCCCTGAGTAATAGGTGAGGCCAAAGACGTCGAATGCTTTGGAGAAGGAAGAGGGTGACTCAGGCCCAGGCACCTGCTGCCTGATCCCAGATATGTCGTGTGACTGTGAGGTCACAGCATTTGTCAGCTTAGGGAGAAGGGGGGTTTCAAGTCAGCTTGTTGGATATTGTCTTTGCCCAAGTCAGAGGTAAAAACGAACAGGGCGTGTGCTTGGGACGTACCCAACCCATCCGCCAAGAAGCAGACCCGGTATTAGAGTAAAACTTCAGGACGGTGTGGGTGAAGAACTTCCCACTTTTCTCAACCAGCCAAACCATTCCATTTTCTTCTTTTTTTTTTTTTTTCTGAGACATAGTCTCATTCCATTGCCTTGAGTAGAGTGCTGTGGCGTCAGCCTAGTTCACAGCAACCTCAAACTCCTGAGCTCAAGCGATCCTCCTGCCTCAGCCTCCCGAGGAGCTGGGACTACAGGTGCACACCAGATTGCCTGGTTAATTTTTCTATTTTATTAGAGATGGGGTTTCGCTCTCATTCAGGCCGGTCTCAAACTCCTGAGCTCAAGCGATCCTCTGGCCTCAGCCTCCTGGAGTGCTAGGATGACAAGTGTGAGCCACCACACCCGGCCCACCATTCCCCTTTCTAGGAGGAAGCTCCAGTATGTCTGAAGGGCAGGGCAGACTTCAGGAACACACTTGGAATAAGAACCTACACCAGCACCGGGCAGCACTCTGTCCTGGCAGCACACCCTGGGGGTTTTGGGAATGGCATGTGCACAGGAGACACCAGCCTTAAGGGTTAAGAATTGTAGGTAACCTGACACCCAAAGCCTCTTTTGGTAGCCTTAAAGAGCTATCACTTGTGAATGCCTCTTAAGCCTCTCGAACCTTTTATTTCGAGTGTACATCATCTCTCAGAGTAGTTACCAACTTGGCAAAGAAGTGCTGCCCTGCTAAGGTATTAACAAGCATATAGTACTAGGTTATTAGGTATGAAATGTCCGATTTCCTTAAGCACGAAGTGTGACAATTGGTATCTCAGACATTTCACTTTGACACTTGTTTTATTTTTATTGTGAAGGCACATCCTCATTCTTTCAAACGCACAGTTTGGCTTGGGATTATCTTTCAAGTTTTTTTTAGAGCAATTTTTGTGAAACCATGGATAAGTCAAAAATTTGTGTTGTTTTCAAATATGAGTTCCATTGTGGAACTAATGCAGCACAGATAGCTCGAAATATCAACGAAGTGTTTGGGAAGGATGTGGCTAATGAACGCACAGTGCGTTGATGGTTTGAAAAGTTCTGTTCTGGTGAGTTTAATCTGGAAAATGAGCCACGTGGGCGACCTGAGACCAAGGTGGATAATGATGAACTGAAAGCTGTAGTGCAAGCGAATCCATCCCAACCTATGTTTGAATTAGCAGCAAGGTGTGACATTACTATTCCGACATACTGGAGCATTTGAAACAAATCGGCAAGGTAAAGAAACTGGGTAGATAGGTTCTGCATGAATTAAACCAGTGTCAGAAGAGAAATCGTCTTGAAGCTTGCCTTTCTTTATTGTCACGACATAAAGGCCAACATTTCTACACCGTATTGTTACATGTGATGACAAATGGATTCTTTTTGACAATGGCAGGCGTTCGGCACAATAGTTGGATAAAGATGAAGTGCCAGAACACAGTCCAACACCAAATATTCATCAGAAAAAGCAAATGGTGTCTGTTTGGTGGTCCAGCACTGGTATTATCCACTACAGCTTCATGAAACCTGGTTAATCGATTACACCAGATGTCTACTGCAGCCAGTTGGACAAACTGCTGAGGATGCTTGTGATTAAGCAGCCGAGATGGGTCAATAGAGACAGGACAATCCTCTTGCAAGACAACGCTCAAGCACACGTCGCACAAATAACACTGCTCAAACCACAGCAGCCGGACTTGGAAACTCTCTGTCACCCCCTGTATTCTCCAGACCTTGCACCAACTGACTCCCACTTCTTCCAGGCTTTTGACCACTTCTTGCAAGGAAAAAGTATTCAGTTCTCAACAAGCTGTGAATTCAAACACAGCTTTTGCGATTTCATCACCACTCACTCTCTAGGCTTCTTGTTGCTAGTATAAACAAGCTACCCTTAATGTGGCAACACTATGCCCATAGTTTAGGCACATACTTGGATTAATTGTACTGTTTCTTGTTTGAGATATAATAAACTACACTTTTGATTTGAAGTTGGACACTTCATATTTAATGACCTAATAGAGTGGCCGGGCGCGGTGGCTCACGCCTGTAATCCTAGCACTTTGGGAGGCCGAGGCGGGCGGATCGCTCAAAGTCAGGAGTTCGAAACCAGCCTGAGTGAGACCCCGTCTCTACCAAAAATAGAAAGAAATTAATTGACCAACTAAAAATATATATACAAAAAATTAGCCGGGCATGGTGGCGCATGCCTGTAGTCCTAGCTACTCGGGAGGCTGAGGCAGTAGGATCGCTTGAGCCCAGGAGTTTGAGGTTGCTGTGAGCTAGGCTGATGCCACGGCACTCACTCTAGCCTGGGCAACAAGTGAGACTCTGTCTCAAAAAAAAAAAAAAAAAAAATGACCTAATAGAGTAAAACGTAACTGATTATCTTCATGACCGTGAAGTTGGTAGTGGTTTCTTAAATAGGGCACAAGAAAAGTTCTGTGAAAGAAAACATGTATACATTTACACTACATTAAAATTAAGGAGTAGTATCAAAAGACCTCATAAAAAGAGGGAAGAGGTGGGACTCTGAGCAAAAAAAGATATTTGCATCCAACAAAACATTTGCATCTAGAATATATAAAGGACTCTTAGACATTGTATTTTTAAGACAACTTGATAGAAAAATAGAAGAAAGACTCCAACGGGCATTTTATTAAGAGGATCTCCCGTCAGCCAGTAAGTCAGGCGGAGCATCCCTATAGAATCTGAAATGCTCCAGGATCCGAGACTTTTTGAGCACTGACGCGACGCCACAAGTGGAAAAGTCCACACCTGCCCTATGTGACAGGTCGCAGTGAAAACGCAGGCACTCAGCACACGGTTTATTCAGTGTCCCCAAGGGAAAAAAGACCTTCCCAGCCCCTGTAGCTGCAAGACATCTTTTCTGCACGGGCCAGATATGTATGCCATATTTTTTACTGTTAAGGACTTATGTGTACATAAGTATAAGAACACGATAGCTGAGCAGCGTGTAAATTCGGAGTCAGGAATGATGGTGATGCCGAACAGCCACAGATGGGCCGCGTGGGTGGCTTTCCTGTGAGTTGCTGTTTTGTCATCTTTTTGTTTGCTTCCATATGTTTTTTTTTTCGAGACAGAGTCTCACTCTGTTGTCCGGGCCAGAGTGCCATGGCGTCAGCCTAGCTCACAGCAACCTCCAACTCCTGGGATCAAGCGATCCTCCTGCCTCAGCCTCCCGAGTACCTGGGACCACAGGCACATGCCACCATGCCTGGCTAATTTTTTCTATATATTTTTAGTTGGCCAATTAATTTCCTTCCATTTCTTAGTAGAGACGGTGTCTCGCTCTTACTCAGGCTGGTTTCGAACTCCTGACCTTGAGCGATCCTCCCGCTTCGGCCTCTCAGAGTGCTAGGATTACAGGCGTGAGCCACCGCGCCCGGCCCCATATGTCTTTCATATTGAAGTTTTTCCTAAGATGCTCGATGATTCTTAGATATCCGCACATACTCGAGAGTAGGATATTAAGAAATCGATGAAAAATCTGCACTGGGCTTTGCTCCCTGTGGCCTTAACTGTGGGGTGATCTCGCCGGGGAGCCCCGAGGGGCATTGGCCTCGGTTGGCTCCTGCGCCCTTCAGACTCCCTGGAGAGGACCCTCGCAGTCCGCTGTGTGGGGGGATCGCTTCGGCTTCGTCTGCTCCCCACGTCTTTAATGCAGTCCTTCCCCGTCAGCTCTGCCTCTGAGTTCCTCTTGGGCCTTGTTTAAGAACAAGCGTCCAGTTTTCTGCTGGGGTGAGTGCATTGCTCCTGAAAGGGACCTTCCGCCAGTCCCGCTCTTTCCACTGTCGCTTCCCCACGCTCCCAGAGCCGCTCAAGACGCCGTCCAGCGCCTGCGCATTGGGCAGCTCTGCAGGGCTTCGGGGGGCCGTTTCCCCAGATGCTGACGCAACACTCAGCCTTCTTGGGTCTTCTTAGTCAGTTTCCACCTGTCCTGCTTTTTTTGTTGCTGTCATCTCTTTCCCTCTTATTTTTGTCTTTATGATTTAGGCCTCTGGTGAAAATAATCTCTTTATTTCAGTGGAGTTTCTGGAAGGAGGGGAGATAAATATGTGAGTCCAATCCACTGTCTTTAACTAGAGGTTTCTTGTTATGGAAAAAAGTGTGTCTGATAGCAGTGAGTGTGGAGCAGCTCTCTGAGGCCGGCCTGGAGGAGAATTGCTTTTCCGTCCCTGACTCCCTGGGAACCACAGGGCTAGGACCCACAACAGGGCTTTTTTTGTTTTTGTTTTTTTGAGACAGAGTCTCACTCTGTTGCCCAGGCTAGAGTGAGTGCCGTGGCATCAGCCTCACTCACAGCAACCTTAAACTCCTGGGCTCAACCAATCCTCCTGCCTCAGCCTCCCGAGTAGCTGGGACTACAGGCATGCGCCACCGTGCCCGGCTAATTTTTTTGTTCTATATATTTTTAGCTGTCCAAGTAATTTCTTTCTATTTTTAGTAGAGATGGGGTCTCTCTCTTGCTCAGGCTGGTTTCGAACTCCTGACCTTGAGCGAACCTCCCACCCCGGCCTCCCAGAGTGCTAGGATTACAGTTGTGAGCCACCACGCCCGGCCCCACAACAGGTTTTTGACAGAATTCTTTTCCATGAGGTATGATGGTGAGGACGCCCAGCCACAGCCTGTCAGCGGGGTGACCCGAACTGCAGGGACTTTTAGAAATCAGTGAATTCCACCCTGGGCTCTGTATCTATCCTGACTTTGGCCACTGTCATTTGCTTTTTCTTTCCCTTTAGTGAAACCGCTGTTTTTTATCTCTTCTGTTCCAATCTCCAACCTTGTCTTGCAGGACGACGAGAGCCTGAAGCACCTCACCCACGAGGAAAAGGATGTCATCCTGTTTTTTGAAGAGACGATCGATTCCCTGGAGGATGACTTCGAGGAGCCCGTCCTGTGCGACGGTGACGACCGCTGCCACTCCTCCCGCTCTCTGGAAGAGAGCACGTCCAGTCCCTCCGAGCCCGAAGACGTCATCGACTTAGTGCAGCCACCGCCTGCTGCTGGGGAAGCCGAGCGTCTTCCAGACGGGACGCAGGTGCAAGGTGAGGAGGAGGCACAGGTGCAGACCTGTGCCCCGGTATGTTCGACTCTGCATGGCAGAGCCCCTTCCAATGGCATTCTCCTGGGTTTGCCGTGTAGACGCTGCGGAGGCTTTCCAGAGTTTGACGGGGGACAAGCATCCTCTTGGTAGTTTGGTTGTCCAACGGAGGGCGATGCCAGAAGGACTGGGATAAAGCATGAGACTAATTGGGCATATAAATAGCTTCCCTGTGTTCTTGTGTGTATACACACACATGTGGAAAGGAAAGACGGGAAATTGGAAATCGCTCCAGGTAATAATTTTATTCTGCAAAGAAAATACACGAGGTACTTGTCTTTGAGAGCAAGGTTATGCCCCCGATTCTGCAGCAGGACTTTCCAAGGTGGGAGCCCTTGAGCTGGAAAGCCAGCCTGTTCAGGAAAACAGAAAAAGATCAGCCTCTACTTTGTCCGTTTTGCTGGATTCCGAGTGGCGTCAAAGTGAGCCCTGGGATGGAGCTGGAGGGAAATGGAGAGAAGTCCCTTCCAGTGTTGTCTCTCCCTGATTGGACAGGACACTGGAAACAAACGTGGCCAAGGGGAGGAGGAAACAGAAGGGAAAGCGCTTTTGCTCTGGCCACTATAAAATGCTGCCACTGGTCATGAGCCTCTAGAAGTGTGTGTGTTTTAAGCAAGGCCGCGTACTGCTCAGAACTTCACAGACTTTCAGCTGTAGGTTCCGTGGAAATATGGGGCTTGGTTGGCAGCGTCTCTTCAAAGCAGAGACCTAACGTGAATTTCCCACTTTTATCACACTTCTGCTTTGAGGTTTAGTTCCTAAAAGTAACTTCCACCAGCGGATCCTTTTAGAATGTTAGCTCCCTTAATGATGCCGAGGGAAACAGTTTTTGAAAATAAGTTGCCGTCTCCAGTCCAGTCGCTAACACGATCTTCGCATAACGGTTTTAAGTGTCTGCCCCGTGGCAGGCGTCGTGTGAGATTCTGAAGCCACAAAGATGAAAAGACGAGGCTCACGGGTCTGGAGCGGGAGACAGGCGTGTGAGTGCAGCAGAGTGTCAGGTGGTCTGCGATTGACGTATGTCACGTTAGGAGCATAGGACGGGCTCGAAGGCAGGCGTGTTAGATTCCACCTGGGGCTGTTAGGAAACGTTTCTGTGTCACAGGGGAAAGTGACACAGCCCTGTGGTCCCTCATCGAGGAAGGCCTTCCAAAGTTGTCAGTGTGTGCCACAGGCTTTCCAACCTCAGTTTCCCCTTTACAAAATCCCCTAAGGTGGCTGCCTTTTGCTCCATCACTCCTGTCACCAGCCTCGGGTGAGGGAGCCTCGGAATCCTGCTTTGGCAGGACGTCTCCTGGGTGCTGCCGGTTGTTGACCTCCAGGTCTGTCACTGTCACGGCTCGGCTCGTGCTCAGCATGTGCTTGTGACAATAATCTGCTTTCTTGCTGCCCAGTCCAGGGCACGGGGATGGGAGAGTTTTCACTTGCAGGGGGCACTGTGGAAGTTGGTGTCGTGTCCCTTTGAGACTCTCTTGAGTTTGGGGAGCAGGAGCATCATGCGTTTACTTTTTCACGTGTGGTGGCGGCTTATGAGGCTCTTCCCTCCCGCTCCAGGGGCTGGACCTGCTGGGAAGGAGGCCGTTCCTGACCTTGACTGCGGAAGACCGGACGCTGAGGAGGCGGCTCCGGAGCCAGATGCCACCGCTCCAGAGGCCCTTGCTCCAACCCCGGCCCCAGCCCTGCCTGGCCCCTCCGCTCCAGCCCAGCCCCGCAGGGAGCTGCTCTCCCCTCCGCCCGCAGAGCACCCGAAATTGCTCCGCTCCGTTCCCACCCCCCTGGTCATCGCTCAGAAAATATCTGAGAAGTTGGCAGGGAATGAAGCCCTCTCACCCACGTCCCCCTCGAAGGAGGGCAGGCCCGGGGAGTGGAGGACGCTGGCTTCCCCAGCCCCCCGGAACGGAGACCACGCCCTGTGGCACAGACACACGGCGCCCGCTGCGCCCAAGGCCCACCGCTTCCCCAGCAACATCAGCGTGACCAACAGCTCCGGGAAGGACTTCAACAAGACCATCTCCAAGGCGGCCGTCAGCGTGCAGGAGCGGAAGGCCCAGGTCTTGGCCAACATCAATGGTGTCTCTTTCCTCACGGCAGGAGACAGGGAAGACCGGTCCCAGAGGAGTGACCTCGCCGAGCAGAGGAGGAGCTTCTCTCCAGGGCAGGTGACGTGTGACCAGGACAAGCCAGGCCTGGCGAAGGAAGCAGGGCAGGCCAGGGATCGGCAGTCCAGGGCTGTGCAGACAGAGCCGTCCCCGGCGCTGGCCAACGGCTTCCGGACCATCCACGACGTCCTGAAGAGCGAGCCCAGTCCCTTCGTGCCCATTGGAAAGACCATCACCTTCCGTCCCGACCCGGCCCTGCCCGGCAAACTCGCATGCCAGGGCGCCAGCAGGAGCTGCTATGAGCCCCGGCCCCCGGACTACGGCCAGGACGCCAGGAGGCGGTCAGGCTCTCTCCCCCGGGCAGGGGGGTTCAGGCCCCAGGGCATCACCGTGCAGTTCTCTGGCCGGGGCTCCTCGGAGGAGGCCCGCCGCGAGGCCCTCAGGAAGCTGGGGCTGCTCAAGGAGAACTCGTGACGGAGCCGCGCCTCCAGCCAGCCAGGGCCAGCGGGACGGTGAAGGGGGGTGACATGAGATATGTTAGCATTCGCACAGGGCTGGTCTCATCCTGCAAATCCAGGAGCTATTTGGCCTAAAATGGATGTAAAGAGCAGTCGCCTGGGTCCCTCTGCTGTGCCCCGTTGGGGACAGAGCCGAGAGGCACCAGGCTCGGTGGCCACTGGGCTGAGTGAGGGAGGAGAGAGTACTGCCTGGCCCACCCCGACCAGAGAGACCTTCCACAAAGAAAATCCCGACCCGTATCTTGTCATCTTCCTTTTTCCAAGAACTCAAGAGGGAGAATAACCTTTAAAACTTGGCTGGGTGTGGTGGCTCATGCCTACCTGTAATCCTAGCACTCTTGAGAGGCCGAGGCGGGAGGATCGCTTGAGGCCTGGAGTTGGAGGTCGCAGTGAGCTGTGATGATGCCACTGCACTCTAGCCAGGGCAACAAAGTGAGACTCTGCCTCAAAAAAATAAATAAAATAAAACTTACAGGCTTCCCTGATCTGTAAATGCCACGTGGTTTCGGATTTAGGAGAAACAGGATGGGGTTTGTGTTGTCATTCTCTAATCCAGCCTTTCATCCTGAGTACGTGACGTGGCGGCCAGTTTAGGTCCCTTATTATACTCAGGGTATTCCCCGCCTTTTCTAAGAAAATAAAAAAGAAATGTTTGTTAAATTTTTATAGTGTCCTTAATACACTTTTTTTTTTTCTTGGTTTTTGAAGGGTTTAAAGCACAGCCCTAGCTATGCTTCTGTTTCTTGATATAATTTGGTTTGCTCCATTTTTTTTTTATACTGCAAATTGAAATGAAACCTTTAGAGTATGATTTACTATAATTTTGAGTTGTGGGAGTGAAATAGAAAGGTTGGGTTTGGGAAAGGTGGTAATTTTGAGAGAGCAAGTCTCAGGCCACAAGGTCAGAGTTACTGGGACACATGCACAAGCCTGGGTTGCGTGTATATATATATGTACATAGTAAACGTCTGTAGATACATATATGTGAACATTTACACACATAGGTAGTGTGTGTGCGCACGTACATTCATTATAAATATAAGCTTCCGGAAACCCTCCTGAGTGACTACAGAGTATCACCACTTCCTATTCTCAGCAATGGGATGATGATACAAGAAACTGTTACTCTTCCTAGCTTGGAAGTCTCTTAAGGATTCATCTCCACGATGTTTTCTCAAACCCAAAGTGCTTTCTTTCTCAACAGTATGTTCCTCTGTTCCCAATTAAAGTAATATTCCCTGTTTCCAAATGAGTAAGATAGCTCCTTTTTTAGGGAAGAACATTTTAAAAGATTTATCTCCTTTAATTTATCACCTGATTTTAGTTTTGCATGTTCAGGGTAGCCAGTAAACACTAGAAAACAAAAGATTCTTAAAGATCCTTGATTGGCTACATCCCATGAGCGAGATCTCGGGGTTAATTTAAAAGGGAAAAAAACAAACAAAAAAACCCACAGCGAACTAGGCTACCCAGCAGGGAAAAAACTGGCTTCTCCCAGACTACGTCTGACGCGCTGAGTCGTGCCCGCAAGCATTATTATCAAAACTATTTAAGGCTGGAGTCTTAAACCTCTAAAAATAGACAGGAGGGGCTGTCTTGAGAACCCACACCCTTGTGTTTGTGTTTCAGCCAGCCCCGAGACGGTCTCTGTTTCTTTCTTGTTGAATATTACTTAAATTTAGACTTTTAAATGTGCTGTGAAGGATGTTTTTCAGAGTATTCATTTTGCCTTGTAAGTTATATCAAATGAATGATGATTTTTTCCCCATAGAACTACATACAGTATTTGGTGTCTCATCCAGCTCTTGTTCTCATGAATAATAATCATCTCATAGATTCTTGATGATCCTAATTTAAATAGGTGCTTTAATTTTACAGCTTTTAAAAGTAGTTACTTTTGATTTTACTTCTGTTTTATGTTGGATTTGTTTAAATGATTTATGAGAACTCTTGTTTCCTTTTCACAAAGTGAGATGCCATACAGTGTTTAATGAAGGTCTTGATGTGACTAATGTTTTAAATATTCCTTATATGTGATGATTGTTTCTTTTTATCTTATGGTTTCATTGTGAGTAGGGTGGACTTGGCTGCATATTAGTATATTTGTTCTCATAATCACATTTATGAGTAATAAATTGAGAGTTTTATCTTCGGCATAAGCAACATTTTTTGGTATTCTGTACTGTATTCACAATTACTTTCTTTTAAATTGTTATATCCTTTCTGTTTATTCATCATTTCACCTATTTATTCATAATGATACTGTTACTCTAGTCATTCCTTGCACCCAATACCCTAGTAATTGGAGCCATATATTTTGTATGAAGTTCAGATCAGAGCTGCTGATGAACTAACCTGTGTGTGTATGTATCACGTTAACAACAAATCCAGTCTGCTGAAGGGCATGAGTTTCCTTGCCATGACTACGTGATGTGATGTTCTTAGAGGCCATCTGGTCCAAGGTCATTTCAAGGACCATACATGTTCCAAAGCAAAATTGGAATGAAAAGGAAGGATGAATCCTGAGTGTCCAGGTTTTTCTTTTTTTCAAGGGCTGCTTGTTAAATCCATCTCCACTTTTATGAAACTCTTTTTTTTTTCTTTTTTTGAGACAGAGTCTCGCTTTGTTGCCCAGGCTAGAGTGAGTGCCGTGGCATCAGCCTAGCTCACAGCAACCTCAAACTCCTGGGCTCAAGCAATCCTCCTGCCTCAGCCTCCCGAGTAGCTGGGACTACAGGCATGCGCCACCATGCCCGGCTAATTTTTTTTCTATATATATATTAGTTGGCCAATTAATTTCTTTCTATTTATAGTAGAGACGGGGTCTTGCTCTTGCTCAGGCTGGTTTCGAACTCCTGACCTCGAGCAATCCACCCGCCTCGGCCTCCCAGAGTGCTAGGATTACAGGCGTGAGCCACCGCACCCGGCCTGAAACTCTTAATACTTAAATCCAAAAAAAATAAACAACCAAATACTGTCCTTTGCTTTTAGGAACATGTGTCCAGATGGCCAAAGCAGAGTCTCCTCTGCAAATGGTGACCCTCTGCCGTCACTGGCGTGACAGTATTTGCTGCGGTTCTCTCCTCTGCCTCTTCTCCTTCCAGTTACGTGGCATCTGGCGCGCGTGCTCAGCACTGTCACAGAATTGGCAGTTTTGACTTTTGCTCCGCCTCCTGTGAGGCTGGGTGAGGAGAAGAGGCACAGCAACACCACCTGGGATGCTGCCCCTCATGTGAGGGCCATAATATCATAACAGAGCCCCTGGCCTTCTGCGTCCCCACCGCACTCAGAGCCACTGAGGACGGCTCCTAGCACAGGCGGCTCAGAGCGCGGGGCCCAGGGCGCCTTCCTGGCCTGCACAAACCGACTTAGGGCCGTGTAGCACCCTTCCCTCGGGGTTCCTGGTAGGTGTAGCTCCCACCGTAGGACGCCCACTGGAAACGAGCTTCCATGAAGAGCTAACTTCATTGGAATTATTACGTGCGGCCTTATGGAACCCTCAGGCTTGACCTTGTTATGTAAAAAATAAACCAGAAATGCATTTTCTCTAAATTCCCACAACTCCAGCTATGAGGAGGCTGACCTTGCAGAGGATTTGGTGGTGATGCCACCTTCTATACAAGTGATCTAAGAAATCGGCTCCTTCACGTTTAATAAAGAGGAAGGGAGAGAGAGAAATAAGGGGAACACGACAACAATTTACTTTTATACACAAACGTGTGACTGCCTTGCTGATGTTTTCACAGCGGCTTCGTGCAGAATGGAGGCATTGTGTGTTTTATCGCTGTGACTCTGCAAGATTAATAAACTTTTCCCCCCCCCTAAACTGCTCCCTTGGGTTCTTAAACTTTCGTCATCACATAATGGTGTTCTCTGAATGAGCAGTAGCCTTGTTTTTCTGTGTTTCTTCTTGTTCCTGGCCTGTGGTCCCTGCCAGGGTGGGAGGAGGAAGGGGAGGAGTCAGGTGTGTTCACCTGCCAGAGAGGTTCATGTTTTCGTTGAAATGACAAGTTACCAAACAGGTTTTGTGTCTTCTCTTCACAACAAGTCCTTTCCTCCCCCTGCTTTAAAGTATGGGGAACCAGTTCCTATATCCCTTTCTAATCTCCTAGTTGGACAAGCCCGACTTTCAAACATCTGAGAGAAGAGAAGCTGTAAGCCTCAGCGTCCTGGGGAAACTGGAACTCTCTGGCTTTGAATTTGAAACAGAGGCGTGGCTGGGAACCAGGGTCACTGCCTTTGGCCAGCCCTGTGGGGGGGTCTAGTCCGGAGGAGAAGAGGCCCAAGGACACGTCCCACCCAGGCTTTGTAGCGCAGGACCAGTCAGCCTTTGAGCATGACAGGCAAAGGCCTTCCAGAAAAAAAGAATAGCAAAGCTTTGGCCTCCACGTTCCAAATTCACAAGACTTCAGAAATGCCAGTCATCCGGTTAAGCAGGCTCACCTCCATCCTTATTGTCCTGGGGGTGGGGTGAGAAGCCTGGGAGCCAGGAAGGATTTCCTTCAGGCTTCTCATCTGAACTGTGGGGACTTCCTAGTTCACAGCCAGCTAAAAAGTGGGGGGACATGGTGACCTCTCCAGTAATGATCTAAAAAACCTCCATGGCAAACTTGACATTCTCCAGCCTGGGGAGGAGGGGACACAGCGGCAAGCTTTGCCATCTGCCTCCTGGGTTCCTTCCCAATCCCACACCTGTGCTGCGGGTCCCCTCCCAGGCCCGTCCACTCCAGGGCATGCTAGGATCTAGAGCAAGGCCGGGCCGGGAGGTGTCCTCACCTGTGTCACTAGGTGAGTTTGATGCAGGTTTCCTGACTTCCAAGGGTGCTGTGAAACCCTCAACGCCAGCTGTCCCCGCTCTGCCCCTCACTCCTGAGCCTCCGGAGGGTTTGGAAGGTGAGACCCGCTCCAGCTGTGGGGTCCTGGGTTCCTGGCTGCTACGCCCGGTCAGGGGCATGTGAGCCCACCCCCACTCCTGCCTGTGGTCAGTCAGGCCAGTCACAGTGACCGTCCCTGCCCCCATCCCGCTGCAGGTAAGAATTCACATTTGGAAGCTGAGGCTAATGGAACTCAGTTGTTGATAAACAGGTCACACTTCATAAACTTTAACCCCGGAGTATTTGTACATGAAACAATGCTGCCAAGGGGAGTGACCTGCGTTCTGGAAATACCTTTCAGGGGCAGGGCTGAGGGAACCAGAAAGCCACGTGCCAGGCCTGCCTGCTCTCACTTTAGGGGGCCTGTCCAGGCCTTGGCTGGTTTTCCAACGTCCCAGTCAGTTCTGTGAGCTGCAGAACATGGACGTGACCTGGCCTGCGGGATATGACAGTGTTCATTCATTTGTTCCGCAACTCTCCGTGTCCTTCCTGTGT